ATTGTCTCCAGCGTGTTTTCACACGGCCGCGCGAGAATCAGTGCAATTCTCACACGGCCGTGCGAGAATCGCCGAAACCTTCTGCCCTCATTTTGCAGTTGGCGCGGCCGCGCCAAAAATAGGCTAAATTTGGCATGGCCGCGCCGGCCAATTTTGACCTTTTTGGTTCGTTTCGTCCTTCGAACTCCCAAATCGTCAAGTTGTACCTAAAATACAATAAACCACTCATTAAGCATCATTAAATCAATAAAAGTATACAAAAATCCTCGTAAGAAAGTATACATTGAGTGTAAAATATATACACTCAACACTATACCTCACCAGTCACCACCATCGCCGATAAACATTTAAACGACATTTCAATAATTCATTAAAATTCAATTTTTAATTGAAAAAATAATAAAAAAATATTTATTCCACTAAAAATGATCTTTTCAACTCTCAGTTATATATTCCCAAAATTAATAATTTATGTAGATTAATTTTAATAAAAGGCTAATTTGTTAGACCCGTAAACTCAAATTGTCTTTAAGTTAGGATATACCAACTTTTGCAATTTGTTAAAAAAATGTGTTCTTCAGACTCCCCACACTCCGTCAGATTCCAACCCCTTTCAATTTCGTCAAATCAATCCCATCCCTACTCCCCGCCGATGTCATCGTTGAAAAGTTCTGTCACACAACCACACACACATAATCACACACCTACATATGCACATACACAATCACACATACGCACACACATACGACTTTGGTTACACTCATTCATCTCCGTTGTAACCTAATCATCGTAGAAATCAAACCGAAAAAATATTAAGAGTTGTTTGGTGATGATGATAGTAATGTTGGTGGGATGTACGGACCCGAAATTTAATTTTTTTCTTCAGCTTATTTAAGTAAGCTGTGTGACTATACTACGCAAATAAGGTATGTGAGTTGTGTATATGCTGTGGAAAACATCGTATTCTTATTTTAGTTTTTTCGTCACTGTATTTTGACTCAATTGTTGGAATAAAATATAGTAAAAAATAATATGGTTGGGTAAAAGTTTACGGGGGTTCAGGGGCAGCGCCCCCGAATTTTTTTAATACTATACACATTAAATAATAAAAATATGTAATATTTTCAAATTTAAAGGGATTATTTTATAAATTTTGGGCTAATTTTTGAAATATTTAGACATAAATTAAAATTGGTGAAAACATTAAAGGAGTGGTAAAAATATTAAAGTTGCAAGTGACAAAATGTGTATTTCATTAACATATTTTGAATATTCAATATATATATAAAAAAAAACTCACAGACCTAAATTTAGAAAACAATTGAAATAATACATATATAAAACATTAAAAAAATTGGAATAATTTAGATAATATAAAATATTAAAGGAATGATAAATAAATTAAAGTTTCAAATAGTAAAATATATGTTTTATTAGGAGATTTTGATTTTTTGCGTGCTAAATCCTACACTAAAAATTACTAAATCACGCACATAAATAAAAATACCAATTGTCTCTATACGCTCTATTTTCTCTAACATCTTTCTATGATTTCAAATTAACAAATTAAAAAATAATTGAGATGAATATATATATATATATATATATATATATATATATATATATATATATATATATATATATATATATATATATTTTCTTACCACAACCTACGGCCCCACCCAGCCCCAGCCCCAACCCCAATACACCACTCACACCCCGTGTCTGCCCATGGCAGGAGCACCTTCTTCCCTCACCGACCACAACGACCCAATCTCACCGACGATCACTCCAGACGGCGACCCAATCCACCGGCTCCACACAACTTCTTCATTAAAATTTATTTTCCCGAAAAAATCACCGTAACATAAAAATTGATGTTAATTCGAACATAAAATAAAATTAATAGGTAAAGATAAAATGATTACTTTGATTGTAGAGTAAATTTGTGAAGATTTTCTTCAAGTCCAAATTATGATGTTTTTATGCAAATATCAACGAAAAAGAAAAATTGTGTTGGAGTGGTTTTGAGAAACGTTTTTGGGCTACTTTGTTCTTAGAGAGATAAAATAATTTAATTATGTGTATGATCTAGTAATTTTCATGTGGGATTTAGCATTTCAGTATGAAAAAATACCCTCATGCATATTCAAAAAAATTGAAAACAATTCAAATATTGTATGTAATGGATATTAAATCTTGTACGGGTAAAAACTTTCAACCAATTAAGTACAAGCCAATTTTGAAAGTTAAGTAATATACAGAAAAAATAGAATTTAAAAAGGAATATATACAGAAAAATTAGAAAAAAAAAAAAAAAAAACCCAACAAAATAGAGGGGTCTTGTCTCTACAGGGTTGAGAACGCTGGACCTCTTTGGAATTAAAGAGAGAACTCTACCAGTTCAGCTAAAACATTACACGTCAAAATTACACATTTAAACTTATATATTAGGTAAATACATAGGGAATAATTTTTTTTAAAAATCAAGGGCGTGCAGTTGCACGCCCTTGGACCACACTAGATACGCCAATGTGCCCGGGTGACCATGTATTCTACGATGCCTCAGTTATATGGGGTTTGATCGGGCCCGAAAGAATATTCGGAGACCTCGGTTACTACTCCGCCATAAATTGGTCTTTTTCTGCTGGGGGCGGTGGCCCCCGTTCTCGTTTGGGTCGCGCACAAGGCGTTCCCAAACCAGCGGTGGATTAGGCTGATTATGGTGCCTGTGCTTTTGGTGTCGATAATAAACATGCCACCGGCAACTACAGTGAACTACAATAGTTGGATAATCATAGGTTTCTTGTCGGGTTACGTGGCGTATAGATACTATCGGGATTGGTGGAGCAGGCACAATTATGTGCTGTCGGGTGCACTTGATGCTGGATTGGCATTCATGGGAGTGCTGCTTTATCTGTGCTTGGATATGGCGCATGTTAGCCTTGAGTGGTGGGGGAGTGTTAGTGATGGTTGCCCTTTGGCTCTACAAGAAAAACTAGTTTCTGTGACCAAATTCTCAGCGACCATAACTAAATGGTCACTGAATGTTCACATTTAGTGACCAAAAGTAATTTTGTAGCAAAAGTGGGAAAGGCTAAATCTTGTTGCAACCAGCGAACATTTGGTAGCTATATGTGGTCACTAATAGTTAGACATCTTGTAGCAACTAATGTTAAAGTTTGTAGCGACAATTTCTATGGTCACTATAACTTAGTGTCAATAGTGACCAAGTTAACATCAATTTTTTTTACGGTTACTACGAGTCTTTAATTTAATTATTAGCAACCATTTAATTGAGTTGCTAGAAACCACTTGAATTTGGTTACTATGAAACTACTTACGGAAATCAAATCGATTTGGTCACTAGTTTAGTTTTTAAACAAATCAAGAAAAGAAAAGAAAATAAAATAAAGATGAGGGCGAAAATGCAAATAATAAAAAAAGTACAGCCATTGATCACGTTTCTTCATCACAAAATATAACTCTGTTTACCAACCCTCATTAGGAGAGTTGGTACCTAGCCTTTACTAATAAGGTAAAGGTCTAGGGTTCGAGTCCCACCTCCCCTACTTCTCCAGTAATGGACTTGAATTTACTCAAAAAAAAAAAAATATAACTCTGTTCACTCTCCTTACGCTCTCTCTATCTCTCTCCCAATTCTCGCATAATATTACAGAAAATAAAGAAAAAATTCTCTCTTAATTTCTTCATTATGTTTGCACCAAATCCCTCTTATCTTACCTCTTTTGTTTTCCCCAAAAGTATTCGCCTATTTCACCCAATTTCTCCAAGCCCTAGTTCCTACCCCTGTTCGAGAATTTTCGAATTCATTAAGGAGATTTGGAAGATTTGATTACAGGAAAAGACAATTTTCGAATTCATTAATTTCCCCTTCTTCTCCGGGAAGTTTCAAATCTAATCCTTCGGTTCCCTCTTCTTCTTTGTATTTGATTCTCTTCAAAGAGGTAACGACTTTGGTGTTTACTGAATTGATGATAAATAATAAGATATGTTTATGTTTTTAATTGATTCATATGTTTAGGAATCGGATTTAGGGATATAGGTCAAGAAATATAGATTTCAATAAACCCTAGTTCGATTTCCAGATTCGTAGCCTCAGATTCCAGTGCATGATTCATCGCTGATTTATTTTCTGAAAATTATGAAATTAATTTTGCGTGTAGATGTATCTGTTAGCTTCGTTTTGACATATGGTATGCGTAATTTGGAATTATATTGATCAAGTTATGAACCGTTTTCTGAAACTGCACGATTTCTGAGTCATCTATGAATTATGTGTTAAATTACATTTTATCTTGTTCCGATTCATGCGATTCCAACTGGATATGATTATAGACTTATAAATCTGATTCTTCTGAAATTCATGGTGTTTCGTTGAAAGAATGATTTATTTGGTATTTTTAAAGTTGAATACTTTGTTCTGAAATTCAGCTGATGTTGCTGTACTAAATTAATTATTCCTCTTCCATGGATAGGTATTTTACTGAACTGTTTTAAGATGGCATAAATCACATACATGTGAACGTTGTGTTAAAATTTCATAAAGTTTGTATGCATGGTTTAATATATATGAATTTTCAAAGTTGAAGTACCAAAGCTGCCAGATTTTCTAAAATAATATTAGATTATCGGGTGTTGCTCACGTTTATACGAGATTTATTTGTCGTGGATCAGGTATACTGAATATTATGTACTTTGATTGCATATTTGGTTATGAGATACCAGAGAACAAATGAAGACTCAATTTCGGGTGATATGATATTTATTAAAGAACATTTAATTATGCTAAGCTAATCTGTACATTTTATGGATAAGTTTAATGTTTAGCATCTATTTATGCCCTTATTTATTTGAAATTTGTCTTATGCACATTGAACCACAAGTTTACAGTATTTTGATCAAAATTAGACATAACATCATATGAGGGTATGTCAAGTAAATTTATTGGTTGGACGATATTGAGTTAGTATTTGGTAATGTATAGATGTCATCGTTACGATTTTTGCTAAATATACTTAATTTTTGTTCTCTTTTTTATTAATGCAAGGACCAGGGTTTTTTGACATGCATAAATTTGAACAAATCAACACTCTTACTTCAGATGGAGCTGACATAGAAAGTAGTATTAGCTTACCGGTGTTGCTCATGATTATATGAGATTTATTTGTCGTGGATCCAGGTGTGGATCCAGGTATACCGAATGTACGTTATGTAAAAATGAACCATAAAATTTGTCAAAATTCTTTCTCTACTTCTACTGATTGTGGATAAATTCTTTATATCAGGTGACTAGGTTGGTGGTCAATTGATGAAGGGAGTCGGGAGGAGCAAGTTCAGCTATATTGTGCATTGGGATCTAGGTGAGTTTTCTGAAATCAAAGTTCTGATCCATTTCATGCAATATTTCGTATTAATTGTTTTTTAAGCTTCTTCAAATATTATTATATGAGGTAGAACAAATGAATTACAATTTCCGTCCTAACTAATAATTCTGAGGCAATGCATCACATTAAACACATGGACTGGACGAGGTAAGTAGCTACTTATGCAAGAGCCCAAATACATTATTGAATTATGAGTGCTACTAAGTGACAAATGATTGAAATTGATTCTATCATATGATTTCTTATTTTCTATTTGAATTTTTTTTCCCTTTTTAGGTTGGACTGTTTGATGAAGTGAAAGAACGTTATCGTGGAAGTCATATTTGTTGTCGCTTAACAATTTATGAAGTGGAATTTATTATGAAATAATTATAGTAATCTTTCTTATTATTTGGAATGATTGATTTATTATTGTATTGAGTATGATAGATTGAAATTATAATATTCACATTTGTTTGATAATATGTAAATATGCAATCTTTAGTTTTATTTTTATTTTTTTTACGGCCACTGTTGCAAATAAACATTAATGATTAATTCAACCAATTAATTATTGGTCTGAATTGGTCAGTAAATTTAATTATTGTCGAAACCATGTAAAAATTATTGCAATCAATAATATGGTCACGATATGTATATATTTTAGCTGCCAATAGATATATTATTTATCAACTAACATATACCGTACTATATGTATATTATGTAACAACCAAAAAATGTGGTAGCCAAATATATATCCTATAGCAACAATAAAATATGGTCACTACACGTATATATTATTTAGCGACCAAAGTTATATGACCGCTATATATGTTGCTATAGCAACCATGTTAATATTATTGCCATCATAAAATTTACATTAGCGAGTCAAAAACTGGTCGTTAATAATTATATTTTTAGTGATCATTATTAGTTCGCCGCTAAATCTCATCTTTTAGCGTCCAATTAATTTTCTTGTCACTGAGTACTTTTAGTAGCTACTCTGTTGTGACCACCGGTGACCAAGCTTAATTTGGTCGCTAGAAGTTTTAGCTACCATTTTTTAACTTTTAACGACCATACAAAATCGTCACTAAAACCAATATTTCTTGTATTTTTTTTCTCTCTCCACCTATATTATTGGTACGTAGTAAATAAAATGTCTTTGTAATTCTTCTAATTATTACTCGATCAACACTTCATCTCTTCATTTAGTAAATATATAAATAACTTAAAAGTAATTCGTATTCAAACTCATGAATAATTAAATGGAAATATCAATATGTATGAACTAGAAGCAAGAACAAACATCAATGGAAATAAAATCAATATTCAATTAAATTTCAAGAAAATCCGTACATACATAATAGTCCAATATTCATTTAAGTAAGAGAAGAATAAAATTTGCACAAGAAAACCTCTTACAAATATCCCCTTCATTAATTCTTCCAACTCATCCTTAATTCCATAAGCAGAAGTAGTTCATGACAATTCTCCCTTGTGTTGCAGTTTAACAAATTAAATATGTATCTTTGTTGAACGAGATAGATATGATGGAATTAAACTTACGCTTTATGACAAGACTATATATTTTACTAGGGTTTCAAATATTTAAGAAAATTACTTATTACACAAGGATGAGTGGTTTTATAGGGTTTGCATAAAATAATTTACGAGTAAACTGCAAAAACTAGCCCTATGTAATTTCAAAATAGCAAAAACCTCCATGTGATAAATAAACTAGCAAAAACCCGCTGTGAAATTTAGTCAAAGGCAAAATACCCCCTAATGCAATTTCGTGTGCCACACTCGCTATGTGTGCGGCTGATGATGGATTTTTAATTGCCCCTCAAAATATCTTACTGTGA